GATTCCGCAAGTTTTGCACAATTTTTAGTGCATTTTTTTCTGAAAAATGCGCTAATTCCTAAATCAGTGATCTCGATACTTGGGTAAGAATTTCTTTCTCGGCAAATGCAGTCAAGAAAACTTTTACAGAATAGGGAAAAATGCTTTGCAATGCGCTTAGGCTTTCTTTAAAAACGTCTGCTCCCAAGACACCATGCTGTACCTACTAAACACATGTGCTTATGAATTATTATCTAACACAATGGGTAACTTGACATGCCAAAACGCTGTCCCTTGAGTAAACTGCATCATTGCATGAACCATAGCTATAAACTATAAGAAAGCAGAAATGCCTGAGCCACAAGAGTCGGTTAGTAGAGCTTATAAAGTCTTGGGTGTACGAATTGATTTAAGACAAGCTTACTACACAGGTCTTGTTCAACACAGCAAATAGCCAAGGCCATCGTTTTCGGTAAGGTCTAGCTAGTCAGCTGTGTAGAGCTTCAATGAGTGCTGATATTTCCTAGTTGCAATAACCGGGGCTCATTTTTAACACTGATGGTGGGAGTTGACCTTCAAGAACATTTCTCACGTTTGCTGTGTAGATGAAAGCTGTACGTGCAAAAAAACACCACGTGTGAGAAATCAAGATAACGACCGGTAATACAGCGAAGTGCGTATCGCCTCCCCCTTCGACCTCCTGCATAACAGATCAATGCACGCCTTTAGATGTCGACAATATTGAAGATTCAGCTGTAAGATCTTAGGGCCAGAATTGAACGCCATATAGAACCTCTAATCATCTTTTCTAAACCGGTATCAACCATTCTCAATGGTCCGACGTTCAAAATAAGGTGCTGCCACGCAAAACACATATGTACATTTGTCTAAAATCACGCCTCTGTAATTACTGCATAAGACATTGGAGCAGCTTGGGAAACATCTATCGTTTCAAAATGGTTTGGAGTTGGCCGTTGATTTAGACGCAAAGAGGGGTGAGAAATAATAGTGCTCTTATATAAGGACACAGACACCAATTGAGGAAGCCCTTTGTTTAAACAACATTATACTATTGTTCAGGTCATGTCTTCGTTGTTGTTACCCATATTGGGCCTTAAATGGATTGGTAGTATTATAACTAGTGCGCATAAAAGCATTGGAAGTGACAATTGCTCCATATTGTAACCCTCCAGTACTTCATTTTCAATGTAGCCTCTATCATCGGTAGTGAGATGTGTCAGATGATTGCATTAGTATGAATGAAACCTCAGTATTCCTGTGAATTCTTTTGCATTTTATAACTAGAGTCCCTCTCATATATCCCTGAAAACTCAAGAACTTTAATAGAGTGACATTGGGCAAATGGTATAATACACTAGAACTTCATGGCATTTGATTAATATCGTGCTCTTCTGTGCATGTCGTCTATATGGATGTGTCCTTAATCAAAATAGCTCACTAGCTTTTCAAGTTGGTGGTGTTAATTGTAATGAATCACCACTAATCACACCAAGTTTTTAACAGTCTCTGAGAGGGAACAAATAGATATAATTTGAATGGATTATATATATTTCATATATCATAAAGTTACGCATTGTTGAGTTTGTCATTTATTTTATCACGTTATATATGCTTAAATGTTTTCAAAATTATGTTATCTCCCATATGAAAATAAAAAATGGTCCATCCAAAATTATCTATTTAATGAAGACTGAGTTACATATTATTAAAATTATTATAAAACTTGAAATTAATTGACCCAAACTGTTCTTTGCAACTTATCACGGATAGGAATAACTAAAAATACTCAACAATACACCTTTATTGTATAAATATCATGATTAATCAGTCAATTTAATTCAGCTGATTTTGAATGACACTCCAATTCCTCTTTATGTCAACTCACAACCAAACACCGCTACATGCCTATAGAAGCTGCTACTCTGGGCCATCAGCAGTGAATGTACTATGACAAAAACGGTGGTAACAATTTACCACAGCTAAATGTCCCCTAGAGTTGTGAGAGTTCGTTATTTTTTGAGCTTAGGATATTCTTGTAATCACCAATTTATTCAATACGACAGCACCACAAGGCTGTGAAGTTTAACCAAGTATTACACCGGTGTCTGAGCTCTGTGAAATACACTACCAGGTTTCGTCTATTGACTTTATAGTAGAGAAAATATGATATACTACATCCTTAACACATAAGAGATGTTCATTACGCTTTATAATGCACTCAGACTTTTGGCTCTGGAAAAATGGTATATCTATCCCTATTGGAAATGAATTTAAATCTCACCCATTCCATCCGTCTCAACTCTTTGAAAGTGTAATGCCACTCTTCTCCAAAGTGTTTGCTCTTTGTATCGTGTTCAACGTCATGGAAATTCATATAATATTTGGAATTCGTTCTGCTCAACCTTTTCTTCTCCTTTTTATCAAGGGTGCTCCAATTAACGTTACTCAACTCCTTCAGGTCATTGTTCAAGATTTTATCTGGATCAGCACCCAAATGTATCAACCTTGAAGATAACAATTGGCATGCAATTTCCATCTTCACACTTGTCGAGTTTGGATCAATGGGCTCAAAGTCACAACCAGAGTTGTATAGTTCTGTTCCACACTTTTCTATTATTGACTCCAGAGAACTTTGCTGTTGTGGCTCACCTGCTAAAAGGCTCAGGCCTTGTGCGAACATAGTTCTTTGAACGCAGCCAGCGGATGGTTGGTATAACTTCAACAACACAGCTGGAGGAGCAAGTGGTTTGGCAGTGGCAAACAGCAAATAAAAAGCTGTCACCTTTAGAAATATGACCAATTCCTCTTGACAATAAATACCGGAAATTTCGCTTTTTATATGCTCTTCACAATCTTTTGAGATGTTTTACGGTTCTTCACAGTGAGGTCTTTCGAAAGGCGTACCCATTGTAATTTGGGGCGAGCCTGGCATCACATTGGACGATTGAGGTGCACTATGAAAGACCTCAACTGAAGCGAATTTCTAATTCAAAGCTCATATTTTGGCATCATGACTTAGCCTGCGACTTCATACTAGTTTACAAGAACCGAGTCCAGCAAGCATGTTGAAACAAGGTATCCACAACGGATCCACTGAATGGAAATTTACTGCACTATTGCCCAGTAATGTGTGATATTTGAAATGTTTCGGTAGTTATATTCTGGGAAACATTTACATGTACATTATTCCGTTCAGCAGGCAGTGGACGACTTCATTGAGCAACCTTCTATACAATATTCTTTCTCTTCATGTATGTTGTAGATCATATGACGTATCCAAACAACGTCTTCTATTGAAACAATTTGGGCACCCTTAAATTTGCGCAGTATACGAATAAGAGCCCGTATATAAATCTCGATTTGAAAGATAAGGCCAGCACAGTTTCACCCATGGCGTGTGCATGGCGTGCAAGAAATTGTGACCATATGCGAATAATATTTGCTATCTTATCAAAACTCAATGAAAAAATTATCCTATAATCTCTCAATCCTAATCGGAAACTTTCCAAAGTGATTATGGATACTGAGATAGAGTTCAGAACTCACATTCGTCAGGAATTGTGACATTCTGATTAGGTGTCCTCTTTTGCTTCTGGATACGTGATCCAGCTCAAGATAGAACTAGTGTAACAATGCACAGAAGTACATACGTATCTGACCATATTTGACACGTTTAGACTGAAATGTTCAAAAGTGGTTGATAATGTACAATGGACTCTTTATGTATGATCTCTTAAATATTTCCAGTATTAATTTCAATGAACAAACCACTTACAAGCTTCATTTGAGATTCGAAAGAGCAATTCAGTGTCTCACCACAAGAACCCCTTGGAATACCAATGGCTTGCTATCAATAACCAGGCATTCATGATGCAATGGCACTGTACAACAATGGGAACAAATAGACAGGAGACCCCAATGTCTTCGCCATCATTAGGTCTCGAGTATTAGAGGCACGCTATATCTTGTAAGAGCTTGGTGCAATCAGTTGAGGTCATCCCTTTCTACCGGGATGTGGTCAAGGTGTTCCTGCACACTCTTTTGTCGTAACGAATTTCAAATCTTGTGTAATTTCAGCTTGTTGTGAGGCAAAACCAGCGTGCTTTTTAATACACGGGCTGTGCATTTCCAAACAGAACTACAGGAAGCATTGCATCGCATGGGACTCTCTTCATCAGTCCTAATGGACCACAGGCTGGTAAAGACCAGGGGTTTTCACCAAGAACATTGTGAACTTAACTACTGGGAGTACATGTATACAACAATGGATTAGGACCACTCGAACTGTTTGAGCAAACCATGTACCTTAGTTCAATTTCGTTCGAATTCTCGGGAATTACCGGCGTCAGAATGGGTAAAAATGGAATCTCCTTGCGTGACGAATACAGAACTACATCAAATGAACTTCAGGGAGCCAAAGGACATGGTTGACCACCAGGGAAGTGATCCAATCGATGAGCTCCACGGTAAAAAGGATTAATTACATTTCGTCCCTTTGAACAGTGAGAGCAAAAAATAGAATGGTACACCTGGTTGGCGAAGCATAGCCGGCTTTAGAATGTGACCTCTTATTTCCTTGATGAGCTAGGGATTAAATAGCAATAATTCACAGCACTATCACTTTCTTTGGTTGTCACTAACAACAACAACGAGTTAACAAAATCCAAACAGGCATCTGGTGTATCATTCAACATGTTTATGTTCTTCTTATTCGGCACAAAGAATTTCACATCGCACATGGATGGATATCCAAACAATCTACAATGTCCAAATTGCCACAACAATTCTGTTGAGCCAGTTAAGGAGAAGGAGTTCATATCGGTCTGGTTTGTGCCAATCATACCAATCTACTGGGGGAAACAACTCAAGTGTAGGATTTGCTCATGGACACAGGACTTGAAGAAGGGAGATTTGGAGAAGTATAACATCCAAAAGCATTGACATGGTAAAGGGTGTCAGGAGGAAGGAGACAACACAACAATGTAGCGCAATGAAGGATAATAAAATATTATGATGTTATGATGGAAAGGGTTTGATTATTATAGCCAATGCAGAGTTTCCTAACAGGCTTAGTTGAAGTTGTAGCGTTATCACT